TATCATTTGCTGTTTAAGTCTATCGTCAATTTTTCGCCATTTTTCTTTCCTTTAAACTTACATCTAAACGCAAAGTTAAAATAGAAAGAGAGAGAGAGAGAGAGAGGTTCTTTCTCATGATACACAAAATCGTACTTGTTAATTTTTCATAGACATTATAATCTTACATTCTTTTCTTTTTTTATTTTTATTTTTTTTTTGTCGAAGGAGAGAGAGACAAAGAGAGAGAGAGAGAGAGAGAGAGAGAGAGAGAGAGAGAGAGAGAATTCGAAGACCCTCTCGAAGGGATTTCCATCCGTTAGAGCGAGCCCTCTCCCCTGTGTGGTCGTCGAAATTCCAACGAAAGTAATTTTCTTCGCAGGATGCAGAAGAACCGCAGCGAGCGGTTCGGCCGATTTCCTTAAGATAATTCGAGAGGAGCTAAAGGAAGAAAGAAAGAAAGAAAGAAAGGAAAAAAAGAAAGAAAGAAAGAAAGAAAGAAAGAAGAAAAAAAAAAGAATGAAAGAAAGGAAAGAAAGGAAGGATGAAAGAAAGCAGGGAAGGTAGGAAAGGAAGAAAGGAAGGAAGCAACGTTGGCCCGATATCGCGATATCCAACTAATTTTCGTAGTTACCCCTTGCTTAAATTAAAACGAAACGTTGGACTTAGGAAGCACGCGTTGTTGCTCGACAAAAATTTCATTTCCGGAGAAAATCTCAACGAAGAAAACGAGAAAAGATATGTTTTCCTTTTTGTTTTTTCTTTTTTTTTTTTTTTTTTTTCTTTTTTTTTGAATTTTGTATTTTTTCTTTTTTTTTTCTCCCTTCTCTTCAAATGGAAACGTCCAATACCGAAGTACAAATCAAAATTTCTGATTCGATCGATCGTTTAGATTTTATTTAATTTCAATATGAGAATTAGAACGAACGAATGTACGAAATATAGCGTTGAAAAATTAAATAAATTATCGTATACAAATATAGAACGAATAAAAAGATAATAAATAAATAAATAAATAAATAAATAAATAAATAAATAAATAGATGGATACAATAGATCAGAGCTATGAAAGTTTTATCGAAGGATAGAAAGATAAAAAGAGAAAGTTGATATTTATTATCCATTAATAAAGACTTAAAGAAAAAGGGATTTAAAATAAAAATAAAAGAAGAAGGAGAGGAAAAATAAAAGAAAAACAGAAAAAGGAAAAGGAAAAAAGAAAAAAAGGAAAAAGAAAAAAAGAAAAGAAAAGTCACCGAGCTTGTGAATTAGAATAGAGGCCAAAAGTAAGAAGCAACGCATGGGCAGCTGCAGTAAGAAATGGAGATAAAAGAAAATAGATAAGAAGTATTACCTCTTCTTTGCTTAAGTTTAAGCCACTTAAGCCACGAAAGAAGGATAGACAGACGGAAAAAAAAAGAGAGAGAGAGAGAGAGAGAGAGAGAGGGAGGGAGAGGGAGGGAGAGAGAGAGAGAGAGAGAAGGAGCGAGAAAGAGAGTGTTAGCGCGCGAAAGGAAGTGGAGATTTCTGTGAATGCGTCTGTTTACCATGCAGGAGCATATCCTAGGCTTGGCATTCTTATTCTTTTGCTGTTAGGTCGATGACGCCCGTTCGAAGGAAGTTGTAGCATTCCACATTGCAAAAATCCCATTCCGAGTACCAACGAGAGAAGAAGCGACTTATCGAGGAAATTCTAACAATAACCACAAAGAAAGCACCTATTTACACCAATACGAATTTTCACGATCTTCTTTCTTCCACTCGATTCGTGAGTAAAACATCACGTAAGGACTAAGCATTATTGGTCGTAACGTCTTTCATAAATTAAAAATGGAAAGAAAACAAAAAAAAAAGAAAAAAAAAAAGAAACAAAAAAGAAAAAATTCGAACGTATAGGTCTTCGTAAAAAAAAAAAAAAAAAAAAGAAAAGAAAAAGAAAAAGAATCGAAAAAATATTTCTCTTTTCGTTCCTACTCTTATCGACAATTTTCGCAAGCGCTTATCGATGTTCCCCCACCAACCCCCATGTCTTTTTTTTCCTTTCTATCGACGAAGATCGATAGAAATTATATAAATAAAAAAAAAACTTTTCCAATGGAACATTCTTTTACTTTGTTTTTCTTCTTTTACTTCATTCGATTGTTCGCTTATTCCGTTCATCTTCTCTTTTCTTCCCTTCAAGTAATAAGAATTAATAAAAATAAATTAAACTATAGGTCTACGATTTATTTTTTTTCTTTCTCTCCCTCTCTCTCTCTCTCTCTCTCTCTCTCTCTCTCTCTCTCTCTCTCTCTCTCTCTCTGTCTCATTTTTGTTCTTTTTTTCCTTTAATCAACGTGTTATTCATAATCCACCGAATGATCATAACCTGGCAAATATCGATTTTATTTTATTTTATATTTCTTTTTTTTTCTTTTTCTCCTTTTTTTTCTTTTTTTTTTTTTTATCAAAAATTCTCGTATACTCAAGAAGATAAGGAGAGAAGAGCTGGATAAGGGAGGCGTTGCTAATCTACGTCATAAATATACAAGATTATAATCGAGGAAAAAGAGGGATGAAAAGTGAAACGGTGATTGGGGAAGAAATGAAAGAAGAAAAAAAAGAAAAGAAAAAAGAAAAAAAAAAGAAAAGAAAGAATAATAAAAATAATAGAGCTAATAAAAATTAGAAAGGAACATAGAAAAAAAAAAATGTCGCGGAAACGAACAGAATACTGATTATATACGTCAAGGCGTCAAACGTAAGTTACAATTTAACGAGCAATAAAGTTTTGTGGTGCACCACATCCTGTTCACCCGGTACCGCTGTGTGTGCGCGCGATGGATGGATAGATACGATGGATGGATGGATGGATGGATGGATGGATGGATGGATGGATGGATGGATGGATGGATAGACGTATTGAAATAACTTAAGAGAGCTTTTGATTTGACTAGAATGCATCGAACAACTCGGACGATTTGAATCTAACGAGAATTCAGTGCGCCTTTGCTCTTTACACCATCTTCCATTCATAAATTTCTCTTTCTTCGTTTGCGGCCGTAGGTAAAAAGTGAAACTGAACCTGTTGCTTCGTTATTAGAAAGAGATAGATAAACGATGAGAAAAAAGAGAGAGAGAGAGAATGGTGGGAGGGAGAGAGAGAGAGAGAGAGAGAGAGAGAGAGAGAGAGAGAGAGAGAGAGAGAATGGTGGGGGGAGAGAGAGAGAGAGAGAAAACTTCGAATCTCTCGATTATAATATGACGTAACCTAAAATCGTTGAAATTACTATTTTGAAATTCTTACTTCATTATGATAAATACGATTATATATATATATATATATATATATATATATATATATATATGAATGATATGGAAAGGCATAACCTATTAGAAAGAAATATACATAACGACAAGATTAATATTTGATTTATCTTTTTTTACTTACTTTTGTAGCGGACGATGATTAAACTTTCTTAGACACTGAATCAGGATTCCAATTGGATTCTAAAAACATATAAAGAATATATTTAGTAACTATTCTACGTGTGTAGTTCCATCGAAAATTGTTTACTCCTTTCGTTGCGAACAGCGCCTTTAGGCGGCTCAACTATAGACGCTTCCCCTGAGCGAACAGCGCCTTTAGGCGCTCAACTATAAACGCTTCTCTTGAGCGAATAGCGCCTATAGGCGCCGTACATTTGTTTTGCACTTTTTTTCCTATTAACTCCAAAATAATGGCCATTAATTCGTTTGTCTTCGACGCGTTAACTGTATAACCTTCTTGTGCAGAGATTTTTTTCATGTAATCAAATAATTTTATCCATAAATTGTATCCCTATCATGGACAAACGGACAAATATGATCTGCGATGATATAGAAGAATCATCGGATTCTGACATTTCTGCAATTTTTGGAGAAATTGGATACAAAGATAAAAAGCAAAACTCATATTACAGAAGACCCATATTGTTAAGTAGCTCGGAATCTTATTCCGAAAATATTGACGTATTACTTGACATCGATCCACGGTAATTTCTTTTTGGAGCGCACAAAATTTAGCTCCGAAAGTTTTTGATTTTTATAAAACTCTATCAGGAGTTAAAGCAAATTATTAAAGCAAATATTAACGATAAATCGTCAATATTAGAAATTTTGCAAATTTTCTTTTTTGAAAATATGCTTGAATATATTGTGAGAGGAACTAATAATTATTATACCACGAAAACTATACGCAGTAATCACTCGCGATTGATGTCTTGGAAAAATACAACAGTGACCGAAATGTATCGATTTTTTGCTCTGTCGATGTTAATGTCAAGAGTAAAAAAAATTATCAATACACGAATATTGGTCAACCAACGAATTAATACGCACGGAAAGTATTAGGAACAACTCGTGTATCGTATTATCCGCGCGTATCTACTATCGCGCGAGAGCAATTTTTTTCTGAGCACTTCGCAGCGAAAGGGTTAATATTCATTACGTTAAATATTCGTGCGAAAAAAGAAATATTATTTACTTGCGATATCGTTCATTGTTTTATACCTTATTATCTTTCTCTAAGATGATAAATTCGTTGGATGCTTGATAAAATTGACGATACGATTTAGAAAAAGGAATTTAGATGGGACAATAAACTTAGACAAAATTTTTCTTCGCGCGCAAATTCTCAAGATGGCTACGTTCAAAATGTTTAAACCGAGTAAGAAGGAATCCGTTAGATTAGATTCTTCGATATACGTTACTGACTCGCCATCTAGCGACAAAGAAGATTTTTCTGTTGGTAATATAATTTTTTAAAGGACATGTTTTCATTAAAAAAATATATTGTTGGTAAAATTTAATTTATCATTTTTACTGATAGATGTCGGTAAAATATTACGATACTTTCAGAATCGTACATATAAAAAGACCCAAAAGGGGCATTTCGTTCTTGCCAAATTTACGAATAAAAATTTCAATACGGATATTATATTTTTAATAAATATTATTATAAAAAGTGTATTCCCATTACCGTTGATATTTATTATAGTATATATTGTAATAATATTATTTTCAATAATTTGAAAATATTCTTCTACCTTCAATATATTTAAAAATATTAACTCGTATTTTCTAATTGATATCGCGTTATTGTATTGTTTCAATTTTTGAAGGACATTTTTTATAAAATAAAAATCGATACTTTTCAATTATCATTTATAAAGTTGAGTGCTTCAAGACGTAATACTTTTATGATATATTTTTCTTATATTTGGTCTATATTCATGAAATATAATCAAGCATAACCTCTAAAAGAGTACTTGACAATATATGTAAAGAGTATTTGACAACATAGATAAATAAGTTTACAAGAAAATGGTGAGAATATTTTTGTGATTAATTTTTGAATCATAAATTTGAAATATAAACTAAAGAATATTATGATGTGTGTTTATATGTATATATATATATATATATATATATATATTATATATATATATTATTTTAGTATTCATTAATTAATAAAACTGAAAATGCACACGAGGATAGTATATGGACCTGTGCTTGGGGATGTCCTAAAAAGAAAAAAGAAGTAAATCCTGATAATGAAGATTCACGGTAATATTCTTTAATTGATAACATACATGTTGAATGTTATTACCTTATCAAAGTGATATTGAATTTATTTCAACAGAGATTCTATGCAATCGAACGATGAAGACACAGTCGAATACGTAGTCACAGGATCTGTGGATGATGCCGTCAAAGTTTGGGAACATAAAGATGGTACTTTACAATTGAAACATAAATTAACCGGTCATTCCCTTGGAGTTGTGTCAGTAGCTGTGAGTTCGGATGGTTTAAGTATGTTATAATTAAATGACAAAAAAAAATGTTTTATTCTTTGTAATACAATATCAGGGTAATGATTAATAATCATATTTGTAGAGTGTGCATCAAGTTCACTTGATTCAAGCTTAAAGATATGGGATTTGGAATCTGGTGAAAAGATTTCTAGTATAGAAGTAGGTCCGGTTGATATTTGGACAGTAGTATTTTCTCCTAATGATATATTTGTTGTATCTGGGAGTCATGCTGGTAAAATACATCTATATGGAACAGAAAGCGGAAAACAAGAGCAAACATTAGATACAAGAGGTGGAAAATTCACACTGAGCGTCGCTTATGTACGTACTTTAAAATAAATTATTTGTGTGTATATAGGAACTATTACATTGATTACAGAGAGCAAGTTTATATTATTTCTTATTTCTAGAGTCCTGATGGTAAATATATTGCTAGCGGTGCAATAGATGGTATTATTAATATCTTTGATGTTACTTATGGTAAAGTTCTCCGCACATTGGAAGGTACATTTAAGAAAGTAAAAACTAACATTTGTTGTATTAATCCTACGCTCTCTCTCTCTTTCTCTCTCTCTCTTTTTCTCTCTCTTTCTCTCTCTTATAGAAAGATATATTAAAGTTATTTTTTAGGTCATGCAATGCCTATCAGATCCTTATGTTTTTCTCCTGACTCTCAATTACTGTTGACCGCATCGGATGACGGACACATGAAACTATATGATGTGTCAGTTTCCAAATGAATTAAAAAATACTAAATTTAAGAATTAATCATTATAGACTTTGTGCTATATTAATACTTATTATGTGCTTTTCTACAAATTTTAAATTATATTTTTCTCTTATATTTATTTTAGAAAAGATGCCAATCTAGCAGGAACCATGTCAGGCCATGCTTCTTGGGTACTTGGAGTAGCATTTGCACCTAATGGACAAAGATTTGTATCTAGCAGTTCGGATCACACAGTCAAAGTTTGGGAATTAGCACAACGTCAATGTCTGCATACATTTAATGAACATAATGATCAGGTATATGTATTACATAAATAATTAGAAATATTATTCATTATCTAAAAAGATATTTATATACTTAACTATCACTAATATGTATATACCTGCAAAATACATTCGCGTACCGTAGCATTCTTTATAATTACAAGTAAACTGTTTTATATATAAAGTATAGATTTAATCGAATGACAATCATACCTTATTATTTTTAACAGGTATGGGCAGTAAAGTATAATCCACAAAAGAACAACATTATTGCATCAGTATCTGAAGATAAATCAATTAATCTTTATAATTGTCCCATATAACATTTTTAAATTATATATATATATATATATATATATATATATGAAAATAAAAAAAAATTTTATCTATTACATGTTTTCTTTTTTTCTTTTACGAATTGATGTTTTTTATGAGATAGGACTTTGAAGAATTTTTTTTTTTTTTTATATCCAATAGTAAATATTTATAATGAAAAACATGAAATAGTAGCTAGAAATTTTATTATGCAGCACTTAATAGTATACAAATTATACTTAGATACCTGCCAAATGTAAAATATAATATAACAGAAATAAATGTTACTTATTGCCTAAGAAGAATAAAGAGACTTATTACACAATGATCATGAAAAATATGCAAAATGCAGAGAGAAAATTTATTTTATGAAAAAAATAAAAAAAAACCCCGATTATCCGAGTTGGAATGGTTAAATTTAATTAACCTGAACTGGAACAGGGCTTAATACTTATAAATGCCATTTAATAAGGGAACAAAAAAAAAAAGCAAAATGAAACTTTCCATATTACGCCAAACATTTTTCTTCTAATGGAACTGCAAATTCGCAAAAGAAGGAACGATGACACAATATAGAATGTAATTATATTAATAGAAATAATGTAATCAGAAAATGATATCAATGTATGGAGAAAAAAAAAACAAACAATAAATTATATTCAAATATCATGAATTCATATGAAATACATCTCTGTGCATATTTTAATACTAATTATATATATGTATATATATATATATATATATATATATATATATATATATATATATATATATATATATTTATATTTATATATATATACCTTTAAAAAGGATGATATAACTTGATTTGGTAGACATATTTAAATATGAATTAATTTATCTAATAAGACATATGATCAAAATAGAAGCTGTATTGACTGTAAATTTATATAGAAGTAGACTAGAAACTTAGGGTGTATTATTTATAAAATTTTGTCTTCTCACAAATAATTTCATCTTAGCATTATGTAGACCACTAAATTCATATATATATACTTATACATATACATATACATATATATATATATATATATATACATATATATATATATATATATATATATATATATATATATATATATATATATATATATAAACTGTACGACTAATTTACTATAATTTTCTTGCATGTTGAAAACACATCAAGTTTTGCCCAAATATATTTCATGTCACTATCAGTCTTCAAAAGTAATTAGACGATGCGCTCATCGAAATGAGTACATATTAACTATGATGGAAACAAAATACAGATCTAACTTTTCTCTTCGTTTTCACTAATTAAAGATGTACAGTAGCGTATCACCAGTGTTATTGTATAACATACATTGCTAACTTTTTTCTACAGTTCTTAATCACATTTAATATATACAAAATGGAATAAATAATCCCGCGTAATTACTAATATAGACGCTATATAATTTTATACTGACTTGTATTGATGGAATTATGTCATATTATATTATATACAACACACACAGAACATGAACAGGAATGGATTGTGGAATTTCCTGCTACTATACTTCTCTCCCTCTCTCTTTTTCTCTCTCTTTCTCTGTCACCATTTTTTTTACATATAAAAAACGAATCATCATACGATCTTGAAAATAGTAAAACAATATAACGATATATATATATATATATATATATATATATATATATATATATGCATATGTATATATTGAGAAACGTATCAAAATATAAATACATTGATTACGACCACACGAATTATCCAGATAATTACTAGAAAGAATAAATCGAAATACTTAAAATATTAAAGCAACATGATTGCGAAATAAATGGAGCAATTTTTATAATGACTAGGTTTGCAACAATAAAGATTATTGCTACAAAACTCATAATGATGTTTTTCTATACCGTCGTTACTCTCGAAGAGGCCGTGACTATTTCCGTTTGACTATCAGTTATTTCAAATTTTCCTTCAGAATCATCCGATTTACCCTTAACTATGTGCGAAGGAATGTCTGCTTTTGGATTGTAATTAAAGGGTGGTACGATAGCTGATGCCGGTACACGTCCATTCCCGGACATGATTGGTATTTGTGCAATGTCCGAATTAGGTGGGTCTACTGTTATAAATGAGCCAAGGCGTGACATACGCTTTATACTGTCAATTTCATTTCCAGCATCGCTTCCCTGTTGACGTCGTAAAATAACGGTATTATCTCCTTGCACGATGTTGTCCTTCTTTGATGTAACAGGATTAGATGATTTAACAGGAATCTTACATGGTGCCTCATTTGCGTTCATACCGCTCAAATCACACGAATTTCTATACTTTACTCCATTGGCTTGAACATTTGTTATCAATGGCTGTTTAGATCTTGACTTTTGCATGGACACCTTATGACTGTCATCTTGAGGAACCCCTTCGAACGTAGAACTACGGAACAATCTAAATGCGGGTGGTTTACTCGAAATAATTTGTCCGTCTATCTCTGCCGTACCGCTACCAGGTGTAATCCATTTTTTCCCATCCGATTTATCGGACAATTGTTTACTTTTATTTTCTTCTACCTTCTTCCATAGACTAGCGATTTTACTCGTCGCTTCCTTCGCCAATCTACGATTTTGTACGCCACTCGATGTGTCGGATATGATGCTAGAATTGCTGTTAGATCTCTGACCCAAGGGTCCTATTTTACGAAAAACTTTTCCATTATCATTTTGCAATGTACTTTGATTATTGGTCAAGCCTTTACTCGTTCCAGTTACTTTAGTACCGCTTTTAGGAATTCCTAATGTCGGCATGATCTTCGATACTTGTGGTTTTTCTATCCCATTTGCTTTAACACCTTTCGTCTGATACGTTTGATGAGATCTCACAGAAATTTTAGATTTCCCAACGGCTGGATGAATTTTCGTCGTTCCCTTTATTGGCTTGGCAATTTTTGTCTTTATAGGCGAAGCCGGTGAAAATACCGTCGGTGCATTTTCCACTTCTGGTTCATCCTTAGTGAATGTTCCCTGACGTTCTAATTGTTTTATTGGTACTTCGACTTTAGATTCATTTTGGCTACTCGACGAGCATGCAGGCGTACTATGACGTTTGTTGGATCTGGTAAATGTTAACGAAGATCCCTTGTTCGGTAACGATGTCCTTTTACTCGCGGCGTTAGCATTTTTTATTTTATTTTCGTAATTAGCAATGGCAGAGGATATCTTTGGACTAGTATTTGTTTTTAAAGTTGGTTCTTTTGTTGTTGTAGGAGGTGTTACACCTGGACTATTACTTTGTCTAAGAGCAATGGCCCTGGTTGTTCTAACAATAGGAGAAGTGTTACTACGTCCGATAGGAATAGCACTAATAGGAGTTGGATGTTTCAATGGAGATGACTGTGGAGTTGGTTTACGTGTAATTGGATTCGAATATAACGCTTTTCTCCTTCCGCGAATAGCTTTTGGACTTCCTGGTTCCGACTTGTCCGTAGTATTTGAATCTGCACTAACATCTCTACTACTACCCATTCCTGGCTTAATTATACGTGGACGTTTAATTACCTGACATTGTTCCTCCGTGCAATTAGATCCATTATCGCTCCCAGATTCTATAGGATCATTTTCTTCCGGTGCACGTTCTACGTCCGATTTATCCTTTTCTTCTTGAACATTGTGATCATATCTTTGTGAAATATCGGCTTGATTGGTATACGTGTCCATTAATCTTTTGGAAACTCCATTAACAAAACATAATCTTAGACTTTGTTCCGATCCGGATTCGTTCGATACTAAACTTAAAGTTTCTTGATCCAATAAAACATCATCTCCGAGAGAGACGGCATGAGCTTTACTAGATTCATTCAAGGTATTTAATACTATAGTAGCATTATGCTCCAACATATTATTAATTTCTTCTAACGCGATATTGTGGACGTTATCCGTGCCTTCCTTTTCCAAAGTATTTGCCGTTGGGTCTATGTCACAATCATCAACCTTTTGCATACACTCCGAATCATTTAACGTTCTTGTGCGATATCTTTCTTTATTTTCTTGATTTTCGGCACGCTTCTTTCTCAATGCCCTAGGCATCGGCAATTTCGTAAGCGTAGGAATGGAAGATTTACCAGCAGTCGCTGGATCTACAACTTCTGGATCCTTTTGTTGACAGGTCTGATCAATCTCTTCTTTGTTACTTACAATTGCATTGATAATTGGAAATGGATTTTCAAGTACTTGAGTTTGAAAACGTGCCCTATCCTCTTGTCTACGTTGCTTGGGTGTTAATTTGGAAAAAGGAGAACATTTGCCTTGTGTTATTTTATTCGGCGTCTCAACCGGTTTACCCTCCTGTTTACGTCTCTCTTCCTCCTTCTTGACGAATTCAGCGGCAATCGTATAAGTTTTGTATCTCTCCTTAGCTAAGTTTCTCTTTTGTTTAGGTGTTAAATGATTTTTATTCGATCTCTTCTTCGGAGTCGACTCCGCAGAGCTACTGACGCAATATTCCGAAGAAATAGTAGTAACTCCTTCGTCAGTATCATTTTCCCCTTCGTCGATAGCTTCTACCAAAGTAGGTGGTACCTCCTCCGTGCGTAATTCTGTATCTATGCATAGGGTATCGTTACAAAGGGTATCCGTGTTTCCTTCCATCGTCGATTGATCCATTTCATTCACTTCATTGAAAAGAGATGGAGGATTAATGTTTTCCAAATATTCACTGAGACTGTTGTTACCGCTCGATTGCATACCTTCGGCATATCGCATGCAAGTAATTGACAAAACATTAGCTACCGGTTTAAGTAAATCAAATACTGGATCACTCCCTGATAAAGAATGCGAATCATGATCCTTATTATCAGCGACTTCCGAAGTAATACTCGCTACGCTTAACATACTGTTTTCCATGTCTCCGACATCGAACAATTCATCCATTACAGATGGTGGCTTAACATTTTCCAAATGTGAGTGTACACAATCGTTGAGTAAATTTTCTAAACTACCCGTGTGACTTTGTCCTTGATTCAATGCTCTTTTAGCTACAACACCAAGAGGCAAAGATTTCTTGCGACAATTTCGCGAATCAACGCCCGATTGATTCTTA